GAAGCGCCAACCAACGAGCACCGCGAACACCCGGCCTCCCCCGCGCTCACCTCCCTACCGTCTACCCCAGCCTGCGCGGGACACCACACCAAGCGGATCCCACCACGCCAAAACACCACCTAAGGGGCTTCACGCCCACCTCCACAGTCAAAGAAGCAGCCGCCAGCACCGCCGCCGGAAACGCCCCCGCGCCTCGCCGACCTGGGCGATGTCACTTCCGTTGAAGCGTAATAGGCTGGCGCTAGGAGCCCAGAGGGTGGGACTCCCACGAAATTTGAAAGGATGTAAAACTGAGAAGAGAGCTAGCCAGCGAACGAGAGAAGAAAGTATGGAAATGTGCTGGTTAGTTTGCCAACTTGACACAAGCTAGAGCTACCTAAAAGGACGGAACCTCAATTGAGAAAATGTCTTCATAAGAATAAGATCCGGCTATACGTAGACCTGTAAAGCATTTTTCTTAATTAGTGATTGGTGGGTGAGGGCCTAGCCAATTATGGGTGGTGCCATCCCTGGGCTGGTGGTCCTGGATTCAATACGACGGCAGGTTGAGCAAGCCAGTAAGCTGCACACCCTCGCATGGCTTTTACATCAGCTCCGGGATCCTCCAGGATACTGCCCTGTAGCAGGAATTCTAATTGTCTTAATGAACAAAAACCCAGAGTTAGATATTAGGGGGTGAAAGCTGGACTCAGAGAAGCAGTTCAGCCAGCCACTAGAGACCATATACCTTTACCAATGCTCAGACCAAGGGGGCGATCCTATCCTCAGACTATAATTGTCTCCACCAACCTTCAGACTGCCTCTGTCTCCACCAAACCTCAGACTTTAACGAGTTCCAGTCTCTTCCTGCCTTATATTTCTCTCTCCGCCCAGCCATATCACTCCTGTTCCCATCTCCCCGGTATTGGGATTAAAGGTGTGGAATTCCAAGAGCTGGGAGCACCTTTGTATGAGCTGTTTCTTTTTTTAGACAGATTCAATCTCGCATAACCCCAGTGTGGTCTTGAAATAACAGAGATCCCTCTGACTCAGTCTCCTGACTCCTGGGATTAAAGGTGTGCCACCACTCCCTGGCCTCTACGGGCTTAGCTCTGCACCTAATCTTCAGGCAAGCTTTATTTGTTAAGAAATAAACAAAATATCACTACACTGCCCTGTTTGAGTTTCTGTCCCGACATCCTTCAATAATGAACAGTGATGTGAAAAGTATGAGCAAAATAAACCCTTTCCTCCCCAGGTTGATTTTTGGTCATGGTGTTTCATTTCAGCAATTGGAGAGAGAATTTTGGGGCTGGAGAGATTACTCAGAAGTTAAAAGCACGTGTAGCTCTTCCACAACCATCCCGTAAACCCACTTCCAGGGGATTGAACACTCTTCTGACATCTGAGAGAACCAATAAAACTCATGGTGCATGTCTTACAGCTTCAGTTCCTGTGAAGAGACACCATGACCACAGCGATTCTCATAAAGGAAAACATTTAATGGAGCTGGCTGACAGTTCAGACATTCAATCGGTTATCATTATGGTGGGACGTAACAACAGGCAGGCAGACATGGTGCTGGATAAGGAGCTGAGAATTCTACATCTTTGATCCACAAGCAACAGGAAGGGGTCTGTGACAGTGGGAGTAGCTCGAACATACCAAATCTCAAAACCCAACCCCACAGTGACACACTTCCTCCAACAAGGCCATACACACTCCAAGGCCATACCTCCTGTATTAGTGAGGGTTCTCTAGGGTCACAGAACTTATGGAATGAATCTCTTTCTCTCTCTCTCTCTCTCTCTCTCTATATATATATATATATATATATATATATATATATGTAATTTATTGGAATGACTTACAGGCTGCAGTCCAACAATGGCTAGCTGTGAATGGAAAGTCCAAGAATCTAGTAACTGCTCAGTCCCACCAGACTGGGTGCCTCACCTGGTCTTCTGTGTATGCTGGAATCCTGAAGAAGCAGGCTCCTATGCCAGTGAAGGAATGGATGCACTAACAAGACGAGAGCAAGCAGGCAAAGAATGAACCCTTCTTTCTTCCCTTTTCCTTATATAGGCTTCCAGCAGAAGGTGTGGCCCAGATTCCAGGTGTGTCTTCCAGCCTCAAGATCTGGATTAAAGGAGTGTGCCGTCCAATCTCCAGATCTGGATTAAAGGAGTGTGCCATCCAATCTCAAGATCCACATCAAAGGCATGTTGTCTTCTTGCCTCAAGATCCAGATCACAGGTGCGCCCTCCATTTCTGGATTGTAGTTCATTCTAGATATAGTCAAGTTGATGAGCAAGAATAGTGTCATTCTCTTTGGGGGTCATTTTCTTTCAAACTACCACAGTGCACATACATACATGCAGGTGAAATATCCAGTATACATAAAATAAATCTTCAAAAATTAAATTTTTATGAGCTTATAGATTCAAACACACTGGAAGAATTTTAATTTATGGGAAATTTTTTTTGAGTCAGTGTCTTGCTATGTAGCCCTAGCTAGATTCAAACCCAAAGCAATCTTCCTGCCTGAGTTTTGAGAATAAAGGCATGTGCCACCATACCCAGTAGAAATTATTATAAATAATCAAACTGTCCTATCTTAAGAATTTGAAAACTGCTCAAGCTGGTTCCAGAGTGATTCAATCCACTCCGGGAATTTTTGTAGCAGCTCTACCATCTGCCATGACCAAGTGTTCCAGGATTGTCTTTTTCACTACATCTTCTGTCCCAGATTTGTGGGCAGTTGTTTTCCCTAGAAGCCCTGGATCACAATCTGGGTATTAGGAAGTTAGAATGCTCATTTCTGTGAGCTGGCCTCTAAGATCTAGGATGTTAGCCAGGCATGATGGATGGTACATGTTTGCATATCCCAGCTCAGGAGGGTGAGACTTGAAGATCAAGAGCTAGAGCCAGTCTGGACCACAAATTGAGACCCTGTATCTGAAAACAAACAGATCTAAGAAGTTAACAAAGAAGCAGATAGAGATGTATCATATTGGTTAAACCTCTGTGTAACAACAGTCTCTTCTTTTTGCTATACTCTAAACTCCTAGCTCCTTAAGATAAAGGGGATGATAAATTTGAATACCATTATCAAGTCTCATTTGTTTACCCCTCATCATACTATAATCTCAAGAGAGCAATAATGATATCACCATCTCCAAGGTTACGAACATCTGCGAACAGTTACATGAGTTGTTTTCAGCTTTTTTTGTTTGTTTGTTTATTGATTAGTTGGTTGGTTTTTCAATACAGGTTTTCACTGTTTAGTGCAGGCTGAACCGAAACTCGCTCAATAGACCAGGCTAGCCTAGAACTCAGAGATCCCCTGCCTCAGGCTCCCAAGTGCTGCGATTAAAGGTGTGTGCTACATAAATTGTTTTACATATGCTGTCCAGAGTCCTTAGTTTTAGAATGCTATTTTTCCTACCATTTTAACATGCATAATCCATTGTTGTTGTTGTTTTATGAAGGTTTACTTTTTGTAGGTATGTGGGTTTTGGGCGGGTATATGTACATGTTAGGAGGGAGTTTCCCCTGGTGTTAGAGTTACAGGCAATTGTGAGCTGTTCTACAAGGGTGTTGGGAGTGGAACTTGGGTCCTCTGGAGGAACAACAAGAATTCTTAACTGTTGAGCCATCTCTCTAGACCTCCTTGGCTTGCTGCTGCTTTGTTTTTTACAATATTCATAAAGTTATCCAATCATCACTCCTATCTTTAGAAGAGACTCTGCACCTCTCAATTCCCTTTGCCCTGTGTTCCCTGAGAATCACTAACCTAATTTCTGGCTATATTAGTTTGCCTATTCTGGATAGTTTATAGGCATCTCTACATTACAGCATAGAATACAGATTTGCTTGTTGTTTCTAAGCAGGATCTCATGTATTCTGGGCTGGCTGCAAACTTTCTGTAGCTGAGAGTGACGCTTACCTTCTGATCATCCTGTCTTTAGCTGCTGCTTACTAGAATTACAGGTGTGTACTACTACAGAAACCCTTGACTTTGGCCATGCTAGACTACTATCCAACTGAGCTACATTTCTAGCTCCAAAGGTTTTTTTTTTGTTTGTTTTTTTAAAGAAAGCTGTAAGAATGGTAACTGGGCACCATTGTGTCCTCTGACTTTGGTTTGCTCCTTACGGTGGCCTGAAACTCTTTGTGAGTGGAAACTGTCTAACTCCAATCAGGAAGCATGAATGGTAGCTGCTAGCCACTACAAGCTGTTCAAGAAGGAAGCTGAAGGGGGTGATACTAGGAAGGATCATATCCCAATATGCATGTCCTCTTAGCACGTCAGCCAGAGGAACTTCTGACTGTGCAGCTCTGGCATACACCCCTGCCTGACACTGCCACACTGAGATTCCTGAGGGATAAGGCTTTTTGCATTGATATGCAAGCCCCTCAAGAGACTGCTTCTCATCCTTAAGGAAGGCTCTGCTCAGATGCCTCCCAAAGACCCCAGTATCCCTTCCCACCAACACTATCCCCAGCTTTAGAATCCACGTTCCCTGTGCAGGACTGGTAAAGCCCCTGGTTAGCATGGATTAGATGATATGCTTGTGGATCAGACCCTCCCACCAGCGTTAGGGGCTTCTGAAAGCAGACTTATGTTTAGAGTTCAAGAGAATGCATTCTATCGATGTGTGACAAGCTAGAGAGGCAGGCACCACTAACAACCCACCTGAGAGGAGTCCCTTCACCTCTCTGTTGCCACTCCTCTCTTCCCAATGGGAAAACACAACATAAGATTGAACTCTAGGTGTGAATGTGGCTTAACTTCAGGTTGAAAACCTCTCCACATGGCTGGGCAGTGGTGGAGTATGCCTTTATGGATCTCTGTGAGTTCAAGGCCAGCCTGATCTACAGAGCAAGTTCTAGGACAGCTAGAGTTGTTACACAGAGAAATCCTGACCAAGAAAGGAAAGAAAGAAAGAAAGAAAGAAAGAAAGACAGAAAGAAAGAAAACAACAACAAAAAACCAACAACAACCCTTTCCATGTGTAGTACTTCCAGGTAATATTTTATTTAGATCATGTAGGTATTGTCTATATATTTCTGGATACTGGAGTTAGGATTTTCTATGTGGCATTAAGTGCATTGATCTAAAGCTTTTAAGATATGACTAATATAAATGTACAAGCAAAATACTGGCTAAAATAAAAAAACTTACGTATAAACATTTCTTAAATGAACATTTTATACAGCAAAGAAGAGAGACCAAGAGCTGATGTAGTGATCCATGACTGTATCCTAGCACTTGGTAGGTTGGCAAAACAGGAAAAAACAAACAAACAAGGAATTCAAGGCCATCCTTGGCTACACAGTAAGTTTAAAGGCAGCATGGGCTACACGAGACTCTGTCTCAAAAGTCATGCCTTTGCTCTGGACATGGTCCTACTGCCCAGAGAGTCTGTCCCTCTGTTCTTGGATCTTCCTAGACACAAGAGCCAGCATTTCTGAACAGGAAGAGGGGCTTTGCAAGGACAGGGGCACCTTGTTTATTCCTCTGTAGAATAAATAAAGGTGATCCCGACAGACAGAGTCCTAGACCCATGTGGGAAGGTTGCTCAGCGAATGACAAGCACACCTCTGTGGCAGTATTTTGACCCGTCTTCTCCATCTATTCTGGGTAGATCCCAATTGTCAAAGAAACCCGAAAGGCCCTGGCATGACCCGCTTGAAGCATTTTTCAAACAGGACAGCCACTCGAGAACCCAGAGAGCTCTTCGGAAGTTGTCTGAGGTCCATGGAACTCCTTAACCTTTCAGGCCTCCTAGCTGATGCTGAACTTGGGGAAGTTCTGAAATTCCTGTGGGCCTCGACTGTGCCCACTGTCTGTGGTCAGTATATAGAGAAGTAACTCCAAAATATGAGGCAGTCATGATTCCCCAGAATCAGTGGTTTTTTTTTTTTTTTTTTTTTGGTTTTTCGAGACAGGGTTTCTCTGTGGTTTTGGAGCCTGTCCTGGAACTAGCTCTTGTAGACCAGGCTGGTCTCGAACTCACAGAGATCCGCCTGCCTCTGCCTCCCGAGTGCTGGGATTAAAGGCGTGCGCCACCACTGCCCGGCCACTCAGAATCAGTGTTTCTGGCTGTAGTTAAAGTAGTTAAATCCCTGAACACGCCCCCTGGTCTGGTGACCATATAAGGCAGTCTAAGCTTGGAGATGCTGAGGTCAAGAAGACCTCATCTGCACTTGGAAGTGCTCGCAGCGGGCATGCTTTAAAGTCAGTCCATAAATAGGAGTCATGTCCACCTTCTCCCCCGGTGACACGCTGAATTCAATTTGCTGCAGCAAGATGGCTAGGAAAAGAAAGACCTCCCATCGGCCAATGGTCTCTCCAACACACTTCCGCTTGCCCAATCCAAAGAGAATAACCTTCTCACTGAGGACCTTGTCCAAAGTGCCACTGGGGGTGAGAAACCTTTCAGGCCGGAAATTGTTTGGGTCACCCCATAGTTCCCTGTAAGCAAAGGAAGAGAGTTGAAGTAGATGTTCAGGGGCTTATTAGCCTCAATTAGGTCAATCCCCAAGAAGAAAAATAGTCTGAAGCCCAGGAGAGGATGGACCTCGCCCACCCAGGAGTTTCCACCACCCCTGTCAACTTACTGGTCATGGTTAATCTGCCACTGGCTCACAAAGACACAACGTCCCTTGGGGATATAGAAGCCACACAGACTTGTATCTCTTGTGGTGCTGGGGAAAGAGGAAGCTTAGTCAGATTCAGGGACACAGGAGAATCTGTCCCCTGTCTCTCATGTCATGTCCCTCTCAAGAGCCTTAACTGGCTGTGCATATTAACTAAGGCCTAGTATCAAATACCAATAGCTCTATGGCCTGACCTGTGGGGGATGGTGAAGGGAAGGAAGGATGAATGTCGGAAAGTCTCCAGGATGAAGGCCTCCAGATAGGGCAGGTGAGGTCTGTCAGAAAGTCGGGGTCTCCGATTCCTGCCAATCACCGTGTCTACAGAATACAGGGATCCAAGAGGATTAAGGGATTGCCCAGACTTTATCAGGGTCCCCGCACAAGGACTCCTTTGAGTGGAAGCACCACGTACCTAGCTCCTCCTGGATCTTTCTCTGTACCCTAGGGTTTGTCACCAGGTACATGAGGCTCCAAGAGATTGCAGTGGTGACTGTGTCAAACCCTGACCAGGACAGAACAGAGGGAGAGAAGTTAGGGATGTGGCAGCTTCGGGCACCTGAGCACAGGATGATACACTGAAGAGCACGCACCTGCTCCAAAGAGGTCAAAGACAACACTAATGACCTTTTCATCTGACAGCTGGACATTGGCATTCTCATCCAACTTTTTGTCCTGACAGTGCTCAATGAGGCTGTCTGTGATGTCCCGGATGTGGCCCTGGGAGGCAAAGGAGCACAAGGTGAGACATACCTCAAGTCTAGCCCTAGCTCTCCATCTAGACCTGGTCCCTCCCTGCCATTACTGCCTTTGTGCAAGAGCTGACACTCTGAGGCTGCTGTCCTACTTGTCCTTTCCCTCTCCAAGTCTCCTTCCTACTTCAGAGAACTGGTGGCCCCAACTCACGGGACCCTTGAGGCACAGAGCCTGACACTCTTAGTGTTAGACGTTCTTGAATTTTTATCTACTATGAGTCCAGGAGACAGGGTTTTAACTTTTCCTGATCCAGGAAGAACTGGACCAGAACTCCTATTTGGTGGCTTTTGTCTGACGGATGCACTGAAGGATTAGCCAAGAAAAGTTCTAGGCCCCTGGTGAGAACGGAGTGTACTCTGCCACTGGCTTCAAGCTTGCCTGTGACGTTCTGGCCCTGGACCTGACCTGCTTCCCACCACCACCTGCTCCTCCACAGCCTCTACCTTCTCAAATGTTCTGTAGTGCTCCTTGATTAACTTCTGAATGAAGCTGTAGAACTTCTTATTCAGGTCCTTGAAGACATCCAGGGAATAGTTAGGTAGGTAGCGGAGGACAGGGATGAAGTCAGCTGGGAATCCAGAGGCAGTAACTTCCCCAAACTCATTGCTCAGATTGACTATGCTAAGAAGCTCTTGGTTATCATGGTCATAACGTTGACCAAAGCACATGGCACAGATGACATTGGCTACTGACACCACCAAATACCTATAAGGGTCGAAGTGGCCATCCTCTGCCATCAGCTTCTGGAACTTGATAATGAGGTATTCTGCCTCCTTGCTCACATGCTCCTCTAAGTAGCAAGAGGATGCAGAAGCTGGGTCTGAGGCTATGGAGAAACTGTTCAAGGCATTCTGGGCCAGGCGCCGCCGGGCAGCCCATACTGGTCCAGAGTCTGGGTTGAAAGTCATACTCTGCCCATTGCTGATGAAACTAAAGCTGTAGAGGTCTGGACGGCCCTTGAAGTCATCTCCCTTCTTCACCAGGGCCTGCCGGATGGTATCCAGGCCACTCAGCACCACCACAGGGGTGGAGCCAATGCGGATCTGCAGCACATCCCCGTACTGCTTACTCAGTTTGGTCAGAGACAGGTGTGGGTTCTTCCCCAGAGTCAATATGTGTCCAATGATGGGCCATCCCCAGGGCCCAGGTGGACTCTTCAGGCCTTTAGGGACGCTGGTCCTTGTGGCTCTGACCACCCAGAATCCAAGGCAGAAGGTGGTGATGGCCAGGAGCAGCTCTGTGGCTGACAGGAAGGTTAGAAGTCCATATAGGGAAGGCATCTTCTAGGTGGCTGCTGAGAGGAGAGGCAAGAAAAGGAAAGACAGACCATCAGACTGAGGGTGAGGGACGGATTTCCTAAAGCGTCACCATGTTGGGCAAGGAAAGGAGAAGCTTGTCACTGGGCATGGAGGGAGACAGGGATTGTTTGTTGAGCTGCCACCTTGTGCCAAAAATTCCTCATTTCTTTTTCCCCACACACAGAAAGACTGGAGTCTCGTGGACTGTCCAGCTACTATCACAGGGGTCTCCCCTAGAAAATAAAAAAAAAATTGTGTTCTCAGGTCACTCTGTTCATCCCAGGATCTAAAGAATTCCACTTAACCCTGGTAGAGGACTGGGATGCAAGGGGACAGAAAATCAGTGCCCAAGCCACATTTCTCTCAGCTCCAGTGCTCTGAGTTCAACTGACCCACACTTTAAAAGCAGCTAGATCGAGTGTCGATAACAGTAATCCAGGGTGGACTCTTTGTAGTGCTCAATTCCCATGAATGAACAGCCTGGGCTTCCCCCACTTCTTCAGGTCATAAAAAATCCAAAAATAAATGGGAGAGTCCCGCCAGGCTAGGGTTATAAGAAAACTATCGCCTGGAGTCAGAAAAACCAAGAATGGATCTAAACTTAACAAAAACTAAGAGGATACTTTTCTTTAGCCTTGTTCTAAAAAATGTATGAAAATTTACAAACTGCCCTAAGGCTGTGCCCAGCCAGGAGAGTCACTCTGCAGTGCAGGTCAATCTGGTAGTTTGGAACAGTCGCTTTACCTCCAGGCTTCAGTTACATATGGAGAGAGGTAAGACAAGATTGCCCATGTCAGCTGGGAGCTGATTGTGCAGGCTTTTTAATCCCAGCACTCAGGAGGCAGAGGCAGGTGGATCTGTGAGTTCAGGGCCAGCCTGGTCTACAGAGAGAGTTCCAGACCAGCTAGAGCTTAACAGAGAAACCCTGTTTTGAAAAAACAAACAAACAAATAAAAGATCACCTCATTCAGAGGGTACAGATGCTAGGAAAAGAAGATCTGAATCACGTAGGACAAGAAGATGTACGGTTCCTACCCTAAATACTACAGCCACCTTGAAGTGAGGGTCTTCCTGGAGAAGTTGACTCACAAAGCACACTAGAGGCTCAATTCCTTCAGAGCAGTTGGGATACAGCCAGCCTGGTGTGCAATAATCCCTCCTTCTACAGAGCTGGTATCCCCTTTGTAAGATGGAAGAGTCGGGGGAAATACAACTCTTGTTTCCACCAGCTAGCAATCTATCAAGCTGGCTGTATCCCAGCAAGGATGGAAGAGTCAGTCAGTGGGACAGGGAACCCCTGAGCAGTGGGTGGTTCCAAGGCTCCTGCTGAGCACGGCAGAACTCTCAGCTCTGCCATGGGAGGGTGGAGGCTATCAGGGGTAGTTTTGAAATAAGACGGAGTACACAGGAAAAGTTCAGTACACCTCCTCTATCCACCCTACCCACCCAGAGAGAGCCCTCTACTCTATTGGCAGTCCTGAGGAAGGGGTTACATGTGCAGGAACGGGGAAGCCCCCAAAGATCAGTGAGACAGTGGGAGTTGACCTGAAAGTGTAGGGTATCTTATTTCCATCTAAAGATCTGACACTAGCTACTGGACCTTAGGCAAATCCTTTTAGTTCTCTAGCCTCAGTTTCTCCCCTAAGGAATTTCCTGGTCACAATAAAGGTTCTTAGTGTTCCATCTTGGAGGGGCTACCCAGCACCCCATCATCCAAACTTCCTTTTCTTGGGAAGGAGGGGCAAACCAGGAGCCCCCAGTACTCACCTTCGTCTGTCAGGAGGTGCTGAACCCACACGTGCTGTCTGGGGATCCCAAAGAGGATCAGGGAAGGCTCCAAGGAACTACCTACCACCTTCAGGGTCAGGGTGAAGGCACCACCACCTTTATAGGACTGTCTGTGGCCACGCCCTCTTCCCTGGAGCCCAGTGGTGGGTCAGAGGGAGGGGCAGCCTTAGGGAATGCTCTAGGCAGGAGGGGGAGGGGGTGAGATAGGCAAGACCTTGTTGTGGGCTTGCTGATGTAGGCGCTGGCATATAAAAAAGTAAAAGCTGGAGTCACTCCACTTTCAAGGTTCTCTATAGACAGCACAGAATCCTGCTAGGTTTGGGTTTGAGGGGAAATCCTGGGGAACCTAATAAGCGAATATGGGGGGCTATATCTAGAGACACAGGGATTCCTTTTCACTCTTTTTGTGCCCGGAAAACAATGGGTGTGTAAGGTTCTCTCGCCCACTTTAAGCCAATGGGTGCCAGAAAAGGCTGGTGGAGGGAGAGCTGCTGGGTGGTGACTTGGTGTCTTTCCTTCCCTGGTTCCTGAGTCCAGGCTCGCGTGAGAAGCGCAACGACCCCAGCCCCGAGGTCACGTACAGGAAGGCGAGTGGCGCCATAGGATGACTATGTCCCCCACAGATTGAGTACTGGCCGAAGTTCGTGCTGCTGGATCTAGGGGTGGGGATGGGTGGTGGGCATGCAGATTGCACCTCTAGGGTCACCTTAGGCAAGCTACAAGCCTGGCAGACCCCTCTTGCAGCTACCTCTGTGTTCCCGGGGCTTGCTAGTGTTTTGCATACAGAAACACACCACATTGAGAAATCTGGAGGCGAGTAGCTGCGAAGCAAGCTGCGGATAGTGGAGGAAAGGGTGGAGGGAGGATCCACGCGAGTTGGCAAGAGGGTCAGGGGCCACAAAGCGGGGCGGAGGGGGGGAATGCTTGGCATGCTAGCAGGCTCTTGGGGTTTGCGTGCCTGAGCCTGCTCCATCCTTCGGGGGCAGAGGTCGGCCTGCTTGTCCCCGCCCCACCTGGTTGGGGGCAAGGTGCCCGGGAGTAGCGTGAGAAGAGTCTGGAGGCCCGCGTGCAGCCACCCAACTACCAAACTCGGAACCGGGCGCGGGTTCCAGTGCTGTCACGCAAGCAGGGGGAGGGGAATCGGGGGTGAGGCTCTTAAAGGGCCAGTCTCTCTTGGGGCGTTGGGGTGGGGCTTGAGAGATAGAAGTATCCTAGGCTTTGCAAGGGTGCGACTAAACAGAACGGGGCGGTGCAAAGGGCCAGGTTTGCGTGCGGAGCTCGGCTTCTGCGTGAGAGCAAAAGCCTGACAGCGTGTGTCCACGTTTTTAGTGGCAAGACACACAGCACCACCCGGCACACCTATCTGGCTGTTTTGCAGGCACTCTCGGGAACTGGAGTGCTCCCAAAGTAAGATGTCTAAGGAGGAAAGCAAAACTTGTTTGCTAACTCAGCTCAACCTGTCCCTAACTAACATCTTCACCTGCCCTCAGAAGTAACACTGCCATCTGCTCTGTGACCAAGGCCAGAAAACAAAACAAAATAAAAAATCAACCTCATTCACCCCCTCACCTCCCACTCCAGTCCCATGACACCCTCATACATTGTACAAATATTCACAGCTGACTATTATGCTCTGGACACTAGGAAGAAATCTAATAGTCTTCCTACGACACAGTGAACGCTCTGCTGGGGGAGACAGGTGATAAGCAACGAGACAGAGACTGGCATACGGCAAAAAATGTGCAATAGAAAAATAAAATGATAGCCGTGCGGTGGTTGTGCACCCCCGAAACTGGGGGTGGGGGTGGGGGAGAAGCAGGAGGATCTCTGTGAGTTCAAAGCCAGCCTGGTCTACATAGCAACTTCTAGGACAGGCTCCAAAAAGAAGCTACAATACAGAGAAACCATGTCTCAGAAATAAAAAAAAAAGAAAGAAAGGAAGGAAGGAAGAAAAATAAAGTGATAGACAGAGGTCAGTTTACAACTGCAATGGGGTTGCCAGGGGTGTGATGCTGTCTGAGATGACACTGGGCAGGGGTAAAAGTATGGAATGAAGAATGAAGCCTCCCAGTACCTACCTGGAGATGCACCTGTAGCGGGTACACTTCCTAGGCACAGTGGCTTCAGAGGACTGATTATGGGTAGGGCTGTGAAATGGGACTGTGTTCTCCTGACATTTGTCCAGTGCCAGAAGTACACCACTACCACCTCCAAGGAAGATGAGAATCTGTAGTGTGGACCTGTGTGACCTGAGCAAGATTACTCAGGCTTCTGTGCTGGAAATAGACTGAAGAACCAAGAACACCTCTGTTCATTTTGACATCTGTCTAGCCCCGTGGTTACAGTCTCATCAAGGTCCCTATCACAGCTCCCTAGAGAATGGAGTCCCCTTTGTTTTTGGACTCTGTCAACTCCTTCTTCCCCACTGTGCCTTCCAGAGTGTGAAAAGCTTTCTGTTACCACTTTTGCTCAGATCCTTTGGTATCTGGAGATAGAAACCAGAACCTCTTGCAGAATCTACCAGGTCTGCCCATCTAGGCTTCTAGTGGTCCCCATTTTGAGTCTTCAATAACCCATGTACCCCCCATATCCTTTCCACAGCAAGTTAGAGTTCACCTGATGTCAGTTCCAGAACTTCTTCATTGCCAGTCTCAGGACATCTGACCCCATAGCTATGGTGCTTATCCAATCTGCTTTTTCTTCCTCTATGCCCCAATAGAGAAAATCTGCATGTTGAAATTTAATGAGATATAGAAGTCTTTGTGAGGAAGAAATGATTGCCAAAACTGCATTCTAGAAGAATACATGGCAACGATAGTATTGAGCCCCTGGTATGTAACAATAATAATTAGGCAACAAGTGCTGGCCATGATGGTACAAATCTATAACCTTAATCTCTGAGAAGCTGAAGCAAGAGGATTTCCATGAGTTCCAGGTCAGTCTGGGCTACATAGTAACAGTAGCCCAGCCAGGAGTACTGAGCAGACACAGGAAGACCGGCAAAAATAAAAACAAGGAGGAGGACAATGAGGAATAGGAGAAAAGGAAGGGGAGGGGATAAGCTGGGCAACAGAACAAGCAGGAGACATAGGAGGTGGAGTGTTCTTCTCAGCATCTTCACAGCCGGTCCACTCACTGCATCTCTACTCAGACTAAGAAATTTCCTGGTACCCACTTTGGAGCCAGAACCAGAGAACTGCAAGAGCTAGTGCAGACATAAATCCTGGCCAGGAAGTGGGAGCCAGACCCTTCTAGATCCCTCAGCCTGCTCTATAGTCACTGTCTTCCTCCTGTTTCTGTTGTCCCTAGCAACGCCTTAGCTCCAGAGAGTCGTGGAAACCTGCTCATCATGGCTGGAAGACCTAGTTCTCAGACTTGCCACCCTGAACACAGGAAGCCTCACTGCTTGGCTCCTGTCCTCAACCAGGCATTTGACTCCAAAACCTTCATTAGCTTATAAAGGCAGTCTCTCTTTCCTTCTCAGCTGGAGAAACTGAGGCCAGAAGGAACAGGCACAGTGACCTGGGGCAGATGAAATCAGAGCCTAAATCTCTGGCATCCTGCTTCCAGGCGATGGTTCTTCCTGCTAAGGGAAGCCGCAGGGCCACAAGCTCAGGCTCTAAGCCAAGACCTTCATCTCCCCAGACCCTATGCACTGGAATAATGGGGACCTTACATCCACTGTCACCAAAACTTATCTGGACTAACAGCTACAGTGGAAGGAACAGGGCCCTCTCTAATCCCTGGATAATTGACAGGCAGAAGGTTTGGAGACCTTGGCACAGAGTTTAACACCCAATCTGAGGTCAAAGTTTATGCCTTTGCGTGAGAAGCTCCTTGGCTTTCTGAGTGACTGATACCAGGAACACATTGGGAGGGTGAGGGCTCTTGGCTGGAGGGAGGCAAACAGCTTGGGAGTCATCCTGACAGAGTCAACAGCTGGGGGATTCTGGTCAGTACTGCTGAGGGCTAGGGAGCAGAAGCTAGGAATGAAACAAGACCCTACAAAAATCTCTTACTCCACAAGGAAGAGAGGAGCCACACCCCAAAGAAAGCCTGGGCAGAGCCCATAGATGCTACAGAAACCAGAGAAGGCTGAGGCAGGTGACACAGAGATTCTGGGGAACCTGAATGAACGTGAGGAACTTAGGGGAAGGTATTGACGACCTAGGAGGGTGGCACCATATGAACAAAAATGTAGTAGTGGAAGGCAAGAGGAAGAGTGTGGGAAGAGTGGAGTTTGTGGAGATGTGGAAACTGTCACTTGTCTCTCATTGTGTCCTCTTCTCATCCAGTCACCCTCCACTGCAGCCAACGTATGAGCCCTGAGGACCTTTCTTCTCTGTGCCCAGAGATCCACTGAGATTCAGTCGGTAGGACCCAGGCTCAGATGGCACCGCCCTCCACTGCCTGACACTTGCCTGCTGCAGTTAAAGCAATGTTACTTTCCTAGGACAGTCTTGTTCTAACGCTGTGGTTGTGGTCAGTCTTGACGGCCACCTTGACGGAGGGTAGAATCACCATGGACACCTGACCTCTGAGTGTTCCAATGTATTTCCAAGAGATTTGACTTGCCATGTGGCTGGCACCATCTCTTGTGTGAAGGTTCAGGACCAATTCAAGGGAGAAAGCCAGGCCCAGCCGCGATTACCTCCCCTGTTTCCCAACTGCAGATGCAGCCTGGCCCATGTTCCTACTGCTGTGCCCTCCTACCACAATAGAGCCAAAGAAAACCTTCCTTCCTCAGACTGTTTCCCTCAGCTATTTTACCAAAGCAGCAGGAAGTCATGAGCACACCTGTTGTCCTGACATAAATATTTAAAGTGCCTTCTTTTATTCTTAGAAGATTCTAGACTTGTTGGGGAAGCTCCTACATGGAGTACATGATCCCCTCAGTGATGGTGGACTTCTGAGGGTTCTGTAAACGCAGCATTTAGAGTCCTTTCTACTTTCACTTCTGTGTCAACTGTCCTTTGGGGACAGCTGGATCTCTGCTGTCTACTGTTAAACTATGAGGACGATTCTACCCCAGGCTAGGCCAATGAAAACACTGTGGATGTTT